CTAACCATAAAATATCTTCTTACAGCAAAAAGACACCTACTGGTCAACAAGAACAGGAATGAGGTGGCACACCCAAAGAGGACTATCATGGAGTCTAAGCACAGCTTAGGTTCCAATATAAACCTTGGAAACACATCCATGGCAAACAAATATAAATAAAATCACCCTTGGCAATCACCCCCCGCCTTTTTTTTTTTTTTTTTTTTTTTTTTTTTGAGACAGAGTCTCGCTCTGTTACCCAGGCTGGAGTGCAGTGGTGCGATCTCGGCAATCCCTTTAAATTGCCCAAAACATACGGCATCCTTTTGACTTTATGTAGCATAACCCTGAACACTCTAAATTCTACGTTTAATTCTACGTAAGTCCATACATAGATTTACGGGCATTCAAACCATCGTATCTCTTAAAATAACCCTCAGATCCCTAAAGGAAGGGAGCTAAGTGGAAAGTTCTAAAACATTCTTATTTGCCTGCTCCATGTACTCCTGTTTTACTATTAAACTTCAAGAGTTTCAGAACATATTACCAGATTGAAATTTGCTTGTTGTTACAGCAAAGAAGAGAAGAGAAGCATGTGTTGAGGCAGAAGAGAGGTAGAGATATTGGTTCTAATAGTCTCTTTTATTTTATCCACTGCAAGAACTTCTCCTTGAACCTGAAGGTGTTTATTAACTTAGGGACCATAGAGTTGATTACTCACGAACTAGGTAAAAGTTATTAATATGTTAATTTTAAATAAAAAGGTATGTTGAGCAGATTACAGAAAAATATACAGACATGGAAAGAATATGGTTCTGGAATTCTCAAAAAATTCCACCAAAGGATGACTGGAGTGATGGCCTCAGCAAAGAACCACTAGCATGGGTCCCATCACTATCCCATTCGGAATCCCCTTTTGTCATCCTGGTTCTGAATCAGCATCAACACTCAAAATTCTATGATTTTAATTTGTCAAAACGAATCTAAATCATAGTGTCAACAACAGAAAGCTCAAACTCAGGCTTAAAAAATAAGGTCACAAAGTCTTTACTTAGACTGGAATCCCCACCTTGAGCACAAATCCCTTTTCTCCCTCCCCTAGGTGCCTAAAATGTAAGAGAGGCCATTTTATTTCACACTTTCAGTGTATCTCAGTGGAGGAAAAAACTACCATTTGCAGCACCAGACCCAAGTGTGAACAGTTTCAGACAGTCAACAATCAATGGGTAAACAGTACCTGGGATTGGGAGACAAATAAGAAAACTAGAGTGCACATTAAGTATTGACAGTCAGAAACAATCCTAACTGGATGCCAGAAAAAAAAAGTACTAATGCTCTTTTATTTCTTTACTACACAGAATGACTTACTTGGCAAAACTACTTTTTGCAGTTCAACTCACCTATCCAGAATGAACATTTGCTTTCCAGTCCTTTCATATGAAGCACAAGAATAGATTTAATAAACAATAAAAGAAATTATATTCAGGAAATTATTTTTATGTCAAACATTTTCTAAAATGCTTAAAATAACAAATGTTATTAATAAGCAAGACTATTTGTTCCACTTATTTTGAAGAGAACTGATGGCATAACCACCAATTGGAAAACTGATGTCATTCTGTAGCCAGGAGAATTTAAATCTTTCGGCATTTTACATTTTCAGGCCCTCTTTTATATACAAAGACATGAATATTTTTATCAGGCATAATATTTTCCAAATATTGTCACAAATAATGGCATCGGCAAACTTCTGAGGAAGGATGTCTGATAATCAGAGTTTACTCCAAAAACCTCCTGGTTTCCACTAATAAACTATAATACATTCATGACATTTTTTCTTTTTTCAGATATAAGCCCTGCAGGAGAACCTATTTACTATCCAATATTGCCCTAAATGTGCCCCTCCCTAGCCCTGAGTCCTTTGATTTTTAAAGTTTTAAAACTATTCTATATAAACAACTTGACAACATATAGCTATGGAGTGTGGCTTTTCTTGCTGTAAATACTCAAACTTAACAACTTTCAGGGATGAAGCACTGACAACTCTACTTTCGCCCATGAGCTGTAAATTTGTGTTACTGTGTTTAACTGTCACCACCTTTCAAATATATTTCATAACAAGAGGAAAGGGAAAGCTAATTTCTTCCATTATGGGCAGAGGTACAAAATCACAATTTGATTTATTATTGTGATACTATGTAATTGGTGATCCAATTGGCCCTCATTATTTTCTTCTAGTCAATGAAAGACTAACCTAAGGTAGGAGTCTGAAGATTTGGAGTAATTTTTTTCTCTTTCACAAGTTCATAGATGATTAAAGTGATACTTTGGACAAAAACAAAATGAGCAAATGAAATAATCATTAAGAAAAACAACTGGAATCCCCATAGCCATCTCATTAGCTTATTAGGAGGATTAAGGGAGCTGTTTTGAAAATGGCTGCTAACCTATAAAGCGGTACAGAACATGGAATGTAAGCTCTACAAGGGCCCAGACAGTCATCTGTTTTGTTAACTGATTATGCCAATGGCCTAGAACAGAGCCTGATACACGGGCGACACTCAGTAAGCATGTGCTGAATGAATGAAATATATGGTATATTTAAAGTAGGTAACAAAAATAACGAAAAATAATGAAACAAAAACGCATACAGAAGCAGAAATCCCGCAGTTAAATGGTGGTATATTTCACCAATGAACTTAGAAATAACTCTGGGGCTTTCTTATTCAAATTTAGATGTAGTGCACTGAACAAATTAATGCTGGGAAAAAAGCGGGCAGTCAACATGCAGAAATTACTAAAATCAGATTTTGTGGTCCACTCCCAAGTTAACGTCCAAAGGATCAGAACTGGTTGTTCGACAACATTTCAGAAAAATGTAGTATTATCTTCCCGAAAACTCCAACTCTTAGGCTCTCCCCCAGAACACCAAATCACTATTTCATCCTCACCTAATTTCCACCTGATAGGAAAAAAAAAATCGTTGGCACTCCATTATAATTTCATAATTGTACACTTCATAAAATAATTCCCACATTTGGTAACGCAAGAATCTGTAATTTAAATAAAACCGGGGCAATGTTCAGAAAACTACATTCTTTATCCAATTATCAAAATATATCAATATAAATTCTGGTTTTAAGCAGCGTATTTGTGGGGTCAAATTCATGAGATTTTAGTTTTCTTCTTTAGATGTTTTTCTAGTTTCAGAACCTAATGTTTTCTTTACAAGAATAATTCTTTAAAAAACAAAGGTTGTTTGTTCAAATGAAAATTAATCTAGAACATCATCTCTTCAATGAGTATTGAATAAAATATTTGGAAAAACACATGCTTAAACTGTATTAGAATACTTCAAAAGGGAATAAAAATTCTTACAACCCTCGTAATTATTCCAAAAACAATGTTTGTAATTGGACACTTTAATACGTGTACAAGAATGAATATGTTCTTGAAAATAAAAAATGTAGTTATGAAAACTTTTAACCTTTAGTTGCAATATTTTGAAATAAATAAATAGATATGGGAAATTACTTTTGAGGGTTATTGAAATAACTGCACTTGACTTGCATTTATTTTATTTAAATGTAATCTGTAAAATCTGCAAAGGTTAAAATTAAATACCTTTTCATGGCTGAGACAATTATGATTAGAAACAGCGTAGGAATCCTTGAAAGATAACTTCTATCAATACAAACAAGCCACCAAAGGTTATGCAAATCAACAAATTTTCTGGAAAATGTTATTTTTATGAAATATAATTTATTAACTCTTGTCCAAGTGAACCTGCTTTATGCCTAATTTTTCTAATACTTCAAAAAGAACAGAGAGGCCCAAATTTCCATAAACTTTGCCTTAACTGTTTGTTCCTCTTTCAGAGTGCAAAAAAGGCTCCCTAGCATTTAGGTTTTACACTAAGTGAATGAGACCGGTGTTCATATAGTTACATTTGTTCCATTCTGTTAGTAACCATTTCAAACTGAAAGACTAGGACAGGTTCTAAACATGTTAAATTCTATAAAGCCATTAGCAATAAATTTGATCCGGCAGTTTGCTGGGACAATGGAAACTGCTGAAAAAGCGTCTATTAGTCATTCTGGACAAACCCATCGGGATTAAAAGAATGAGTTAAGATCGTTTAAGGACGCAGCCAAAAAAAAAAAAAAAATCCAATTGGATCTCAGTTTCCGAGTCTCTAAGAGGCTTTTTCCCTTTTATCACTGACAATTTCAGGGAGCCCCACATAAGCTTTAGCTAATATTTGACTAAATTGTCAGCATCCTTCTTCCCAGTCCCACTAGTTAGGTTTAATACGGTGATTAAAATAAACCCAAACTGCCCTTCTTTCGGTAAATTCTTATTTATTGGTGAACTTCCTATTCCGGTTGCCAATTCAGCTGTTTTTCAGCTCAGCACGAAGAAAGAGCCGGCCTTCATTTCTTTGCGCCTACCGTGATCCAAAATTTAAGAGTGGAGAAAGCCAGAACTTTGCGCAACTCTCCTTCCAAAGATCGTTGCGCGCGTTCCTGACCTATCCCGACAATCCTAACAGTTTGAGTGGCAAAATCTCCCCTAGTTGGGCCGCGCGAAGCTCTCCTTGTCAGTAACTTTTCTGAGAGCTGGTGTCGTGCGGCCCGGGGCACAAGAGCGGGCGGGTTAGAAACGTTGAACTTGGTGAAACCCCTTGAGACTGATCCAGGCAGGCCGAAGAACCTTCAGAGTTTCCCAGTTAAGGCCAAAAACTTAAGGAGCCCTACCACCTGCTGAAAGAAGGGAACAGCAAGGAAGCTGGTGGAATGGAATGGGTGGGATGAGGCAAAAAAGAATCACAGAAAGTGGTGCGCCTCCGCCTGGGCCCCCGACTCCCAAAGTGGCATCTCCACTAAAGCTTGAAATGCTCCAGGAAGGTCCCAAACCGGCGCTCCCCGGGCACAGTGCGCACCGCCGGCGCTGCCAGATCCCGTGACCGCCCGGCCTGGGGACACGGTCGCGGCTGGGGAGGGAGGGGAGAGCTGGCTCACCTGGCGCTGAAGGCTGGAAGGTACAGTCTCGGTCCCCCGGAGCCCGGCCCGGCAGCCTGGCACTGTCCATAGAGGGACTGAGCACTTGAAAAGCCCACCGCGTACCGTAGGGCGCCCCGGCGGGGCTAACTTGTTCGGCTGCGGCGCACAGCTTTAGGGGAACCGGGCTGGCGGGCAGGGGCCGGAGTTGCGCGCCCGCGGTGGCCAGGGCGGTCGCCGGGCCGTGGGGCGCGGGCGGCTGTAGCCCGGGCGTCGGGGCACCCCCGACCCGCAGCAAGTTCTCGATCAGGAAACTCTTGCCCAGGTTGCCAAAGCCGGGCGCAGCCGGGAGGTTGAGGAGCGCGGAGGAAGCCACCACGTCCCAGTACGCACCGGCGTGGGCTGCCACCGCGCTGGGGAGCATAGTGCGGCGCCGGCTGGCCTGATGCGCGCCCGCCGCACCGCACAAGGAGCCGCAGCGTCTCGTCGCCGCCTGCCGCAGGGCTGGAGCGCGCCGAGCCGGGCGGGGAGAAGAGGCCGCCCGGGACGGCGGCGGACTTGGAAAGATATTGTTTATTTGCGTTGGGCGTTTTTTTAAGGGATGGGAGGAGTGAGTGTGGGAGGGGGAAGCTGTGAATTTCTCTGGCGGACGGCTTAGGCTCTGGGAGCGTCGGGGGGAGTCTTTCCCCCTTTCTATGCAGATCTGGACGGTTTTTTCTGGTTTGTTTTTTTCTGAAAGGACTGAAGGTGTGTCCAGCCCATCCATTCATGTCACCAGTCCTACAAAGTGACAGACGCGGCCAACAAGGGCAGTGCTGTGGCAAGGGGAGGGGACTCGTAGTGGGAGGAGGTGGGCATGGAAGCGACGTGAATCGGGCGCGCTCACCTCCTCCCCGCGGCCGTGCAGAGCCTTGGCACTCTCGCTGGAGCCAGCGCAATCCCCCAGGCGCGGGGTCAGGTGGACGCCGGCGTGGAGCGCCCAGAGGGCGGGGTGGGGTGGGGGGAACGCCCTGTCGTTTGGGGCGCCTCCCCGTACTACCTGTTGGGCGAACCCTGGCATTCCAGTGTTGGTTGTCACTTCAGCAACTGATGGGTTTCCGGGGGAAGTAAACGGAGTCGCTAGTGGCTGGAAGGGCTGTTATCAGGGTCAGTGAAAGGATATCACCGAGACTGTTGTAGCTGTGCCGCAGTTGAAAAGTTACTTCTCAAAGAGTGGGTTGTTTGCATATTAAATGAAGCCCTTATGTTGTAAGGGGGAAGGAGATGTGTTTTTCTCAGAGATCTTTTAAGAAATTTCTGTTTCCAGTGACTCATTTCCGGTCACCTTTTAATAAGATTTGTTTTAAGGGTTGTGGGGAGAGGTGCCTACAGCTTCTTCACTCCAGAAGAGAGGAGCTAATACTTGTTGATCTAGAGAAGGAGCTCGTAGTCGGGGTTGGTTAAATGCCAAATGACAGATGGTTGTGTCCAAAACCTAGAGGGAAAAAACCACCACCAGGTCCTCCTAGACATTGGTAGTTGGGTACGTCTCTGCAGGTAGACGGGGATGAAAACACTGCGTTACTTAGGATTACAGCTGCTCTTTTTTTTTAACTCTGAAAATTTAAGTATTTTAAGATGTATTAACAGTTTGCTAAGTGGGAACTGGACAGATGAAAAGCATGGGTGGGTGGGTGGGTAGGTGTGTGTGTGTGTGTGTGTGTGTGTGTGTGTGTAATTAAAGCTTGCTTTTTAACCACAAGACAACTTTGGGAAGGCTGCTCTTTTAGGAAACTCTGTGTAACAGTGGAGTGTTAAAATTGTGAACCCTCTGCCAATTAACACTTACCATTGCTACTCTCCTGTCCAAATTTAGATGAATTTATTTAGAGTGAGATTTTTTAAGAATGTCTGTGAAGTTTGGAGTCACATTATATTTTTCCTCTTTATCCTAAGAATAATTTGGTCTGTGGCCTCAATTTAGTTAAAATCTGGCCAGAATTGCCAGGCTAGTGAGATAAATATTCTTCATAAGTTCACCTTATGGTGAATTTAAATGCCCAGCTTCATCAAAGATGAGCATAGGTAACTAAATTAATAAAGTTTGGATTTTTTTCCTAAGAGGGTGGACAATTTTATGACCTGCTACTAAATGGGAGGAAAGTTATTTGGAAGACTGATGTATACTATCAATGTTCGTTCACTTGTTGATTTAGTCAGCAGACCTTTACTGAGCATTTCATATTTATTGAACACTTGTGGTGGTCTTGGGAATACATAGAAGAAAGATCTGGTCCTTGCCTCGTGGGAATTCACAGCCTACTGCGGGAAGAAAAACAAGTAACATCTGAGGAAGGGCTTCTAATTTGAAAGGAAAAATGTGAGAGAAAACTTTCTAAAGACAGCCTGTATTGTCATTCAGTTTGAAGAATTTTTTAATTTCCATCTTGATTTCATTTTTGACCCAATCATCATTCAGGAGCAGGTTATTTAATTTCCATGTATTTGCATTGTTTTGAAGATTCCCTTTGGAGTTGATTTTCAGTTTTATTCCACTGTGGTCTGAGAGAGTGCTTGATATAATTTCAATTTTCTTAAATTTATTGAAGCTATCTTGGAGAAAGTTCTGTGCACTGATAAATAGAATGTATATTCTGCAGCTGTTGGATAGAATGTTCTGTAAATATCTGTTAAGTCCATTTGTTCCAGGATATAGTTTAAATCCATTGTTTCTTTGCTGACTTTCTGTCTTGATGACCTGTCCAGTGCTGTCAGTGGAGTATGAAGCCCCCCCACTACTATTGTGTTGCTATCTATCTCATTTCTTAGGTGTATTAGTAATTGTTTTATAAAATTAGGAGCTCCAGTGTTAGGTGTCTATCAAAACCTCTGGGATACAACAAAGGTGTGCTAAGAGGAAAGTTCATAGCCCTAAACACCTACATCAGAAAGTATGAGAGAGCACAAACAGACAATCTAAGGTCGCACCTCAAGGAACTAGAGAAAAAAGAACAAACAAAACCCAAACCCAGCAGAAGAAAGGAAATAACCAAGATCATAGCAAAACTAAATGAAATTAAAACAAACAAAATACAAAAGATGAATGAAATAAAAAGCTGGTTCTTTGGAAAGATAAATAAAATTGATAGACTATTAGCAAGATTAACCAAGAAAAGAAGAGAGAAAATCCAAACAAGCTCAATTAGAAATGTAATGGAAGATATTACAACTGACACTGCAGAAATGCAAAAGATCATTCAAGGCTACTATGAACATCCTTATGCACACAAACTAGAAAACCTAGAGGAGATGGATAAATTCCTGGAAAGATACAACCCTCCTAGTATAAATCAGGAAGAATTAGATATCCTAAACAGACCAATAATAAGCAGTGAGATTAAAATGGCAATTTAAAATTTACTGACAAAAACAGTCCAGAACCAGACGGATTCACAGCAGAATTCGACCAGACATCCAAAGAATTGGTACCAATCCTGTTGACACTATTCCATAAGATAGAGAAAGAGGGAATCTGCCCTAAATCATTCTGTGAAGCCAGGATTACCCTAATACCAAAACCATGGAAGGACATAACCAAAAAAGAAAACTACAGACCAATATCCCTGATTAACATAAATGCAAAAATCCTTAACAAAATGCTATCTAACCAAAAATCCAACAAGATAGCAAAAAAATCCACCATGATCAAGTGGGTTTCATACCAGGGATGCAGGAATGGCTTAACATATGCAAGTCAGTAAATGTGATACACCACATAAACAGAATTAAAAGCAAAAATTGCATGATCACCTTGGTAGACACAGAAAAAGCATTCAAAAAAATCCAACATTCCTTTATGATTAAAATTCTCAGCAAAATCGGCATACAGGGAACATACCTCAACGTAACAAAAGCCATCCATCTCTGACAAACCCACAGCCAACATAATACTGAATGGGGAAAAGTTGAAAGCATTCCTTCTGAGAACTGGAACAACTTAAGGATGCCCATTCTCCCCATTTCTCTTCAACATAGTACTGGGAGTCCTAGCCAGAGCAATCAGACAACAGAAATAAATAAATGGCATCCAACTCAGCAAAGAGGAAATCAACCTGTCGCTGTTTGCTGATGATATGATTGTTTCCCTAAAAATCCCTAAAGACTCCTCCAGAAAACTCTCAGAACTGATAATAAAAAAAAATTCAGCAAAGATTCCAGATACAAAATTAATATACATAAATCAGTAGCTCTTCTATACATCAACAGCGACCAAGCTGAGAATCAAATCAGGAATTCAACCCCTTCTACAATAGCTGCAAAAAAATAAAATAAAATACTTAGGAATGTATCTAACCAGTGAGGTGAAAGACCTCTACAAGGAAAAGTACAAAACGCTGCTGGAAAAAATCATAGACAACACAAATAAATGGAAACACATCTTATGCTCATGGATGGGTAGAATCAATATTGTGAAAATGATTATACTGCCAAAAGCAATCTACAAATTCAATACAATTCCCACCAAAATACCACCATCATTCTTCACAAAATTGGAAAAAACAATCCTAAAATTCATATGGAACTAAAAAAGAGCCCACATAGCCAAAGCAAGACTACGCAAAATGAACAAATCTGGAGGCATCACATTACCTGACTTCGAACTGTATAAGGCCACAATCACCAAAACAGCATGGTACTGGTATAAAAATAGGCACATAGACCAATGGAACAGAATAGAGAACCCAAATACTTACAGCCAACTGATCTTTGACAAAGCAAACAAAAACATAAAGTGGGGATAGAACACCCTATTCAACAAATGGTGCTGAGATAATTGACTAGCCACATGTAGGAGAATGAAACTCAATTCTCATCTCTCACCTTATATAAAAATCACCTCAAGATTGATCAAGGACTTAAACCTAAAACCTGAAACTATAAAAATTCTAAAAGATAACATTGGAAAACCCCTTCGAGACATTGCCTTAGGCAAGGATTTTATGACTAAGAAGCCAAAAGCAAATGCAACAAAAACAAAGATAAATAGCTGGGACTTAATTAAACTAAAGAGCTTTTGCACAGCGAAGGCACAGTCAGCAGAGTAAACAGACAATCCACAGAGTGGGAGAAAAATCTTCCCAAACTACATCTGACAAAGGTCTAATATCCAGAATATACAATGAGCTCAAACAAATTAGCAAGAAAAAAAAACTCATCAAAAAGTGGGCTAACGACATAAATAGAAAATTCTCAAAAGAAGATATACAAATGGCCAACAAACATGAAAAAGTGTACAACATCACTAATGATCAGGGTAATGCAAATCAAAACCACGATGTGATCCCACCTTACTCCTGCAAAAACGGCCATAATCAAAAAATAAAAAATAAAAATAATAGATGTTGGCACAGATGTGGTGAACAGGGAACACTTCTACACTGCTGG